TGTTTAAATTATCGAACCTTTGGCGACGATGCATTCCCAAAAGACGTCAAATGGTTTCCAGTTTTCAAGGCGATAAGCTCAAAACTTCTCCTGTGCTGAACACATAAGAGATGTTTAAGGTAAAGAGCGTACCCATTTCGCTAACGCACACTTGAAAATCATAAGACAGGACCTAAAAGCCTAAAAGAAAGTGAAAAGACAATGGCATGCCTGAAACTACTCCAGGGATAATTGTACCCGCACGAGCATCTCGTGACAATGTAAACTTTTGTCAAAAGAACTTTGAATTTGCTTTGTTAATGAACACATACCCCTAAATCCTTGAAGCCTCATTATACTTTTTAGAGACAACGTTTCTTTGAATCAGGTACAAATAAACTTGAGCAAATTGTCCACAGTGGAGCTATGTTTATCATACACTGGAATACAAATCGTTTGCCGTCTATATACTACAAAAGACGCAGAATTCGCCGTGAGCTTTTGGTACTTTTAAACTCTGAAAACCCTGAAACTGAATGATAGTTTTCTGCTATTATTTCTCTCGAATATAAGTTAACCACCTGGCTAGGTTTTTCAAAGCAGGATATCGATTACGTGCAGTATAACGATTGCGTGCATTTCGTTGTTTGCGCGCTCTAAAATAACAACTCAAAATTAACAAGCATGTTTTAAATAAAAGAAACATGAACCCTCGTGATTTTCAGAGTAGGCTTTTCAATGCTTCCAGCGATAAAAAACCGCTCGTGATAAGTTTTTTTTTTTTTGAATAGTATTTTGTTGTTGTTGTAGTTGTCGTTGTTTTTGCAAGAGAAAGATAAAGCTCTATATCACTAAATAGTTCCTAGTATCTCGTACTACGGTATCCCTATAAATGTATATTTGCTATGCTTTATACTTGGGTGTTTATTAGAACGCTTTAACAACATTGTAAAACTGACAAACAAATTAATAATTAAAAATAATGCTCGCATCTTGCGGCGCGGGCTTAAAGAAGGATACATAAGTTTATTAACGTTTGTTATTATCTTACTCAGTGATTCGTTTATTTAATCGAATCGACACGGAGGTTGGCAAAGCCTTGGATAACCAAAGGCTTACTCACTCATTCTTTTTCCCCCTCGTTTTTTAAACATGGTTTGCACTCCTATCTGTCAGTGGATAATTCTTGCGCTTTTTGGTATAACCTTTTTTGTAAATGGAGGTAAGAATGAAAAAGCTGAAATGCGTGCTAGTTTAACATAATGTAGCCTGATTCTGTCTGCAGCTGGGTGTGATATTTCGTATCACGTATATTTATGTTTTTTTTTTCTACATCGAACCGAGAACCATGCAAATACGGCTTGACTTCCGTCGTTGTTAACCAAGTTTTTTTGTTTGTTTGTTGTTGTTTTATTTTTTGTCTTTCTTTTTTGTTTGTTATAGTTAGTATAGATTAGATCAAATTCCATACTTTTATAGTTATTTTTATTCAATAAATGCTGAAAAAATACATAGTTAAAAACATAGCGCGTGTGCTTTGCCCTATACAAGTCCTATTCAGCCGCTAAAAGAGATTTTTCCCCGGTGACTTGTTCAGTTGTGTTTTTTGTCTCTTTTCCTAAGAATTAAGTACCCAAAAATCGACGGCAATGATGAAAAACGTTCTAGCATTTTTTGAATTTAGGTTCTAGCCACTCAAAAGCAAAAGCGGTGAAGATCTTTCGCAAATAACAGAGCCTGAATCGGCCAAAAGTCTGCCTTCAAGACTGACATTCAGCTGGAAAAAACATCTCGTCGGGAAATATCAAATTTGTATAAAGTGTCCTCCGTTTTTAACGTTTGTTCATCCTTTACAAAACAAGTTAATTATCGAGTACGGCTCAACAGTGAAAAATTATGCACTTTTGATATCGCCGAACAATCCGACTGATGCATGAAAATTTCAAGAAGACAAAAATTTATTACTCACAAAACAACTGCTGCCAGGTCTTCTCAACTAGAAGCCGTAAAGACTAGCAATTATTTTGTTTGCAAATGAATATAAAGTAGGATGATTAATATTAATTATTTCGATATCAGACAAAACAAAAACTTAATTTGATTTGCGAGTTTTAAGACAAGAAAATTACCCCTATCTAGGATTATTTCGAAATTCCCTTTCTAAAATGTAAAACGATGATAATTTTCGGAATTTCTTTTTTAGATCAAACTGGTAACTTTTTACTACCATCTTATTTTTTTTTTATAGGTGGGGGAGAGGGGAGGGGCAGAGGCGTTTTTCCTGTTTTTTTTTGGGGGGGGGGGGGGGGGAGGGAGAGGGGGGAAAGTATTGTCCACTCAGGGCCAGTTAAAAATATAATAACCATGTTTTCTTGTCAATAAGTTCACTTTTTTTTCCATATCTGGTGCAATTGACGGTAACCATATACCATTTTCCTTGTATAGCATATTTGAAATGACCACCCCCCTCCCATCAAAACTCAAATGATTGTCCTAGGGGGACAGGTCAGCAACGTCTTCAGGGTAGAGGGTCTATACGTTTTTCTCATATATTTCGAGACAATGATTTCAGCACTACGTCCGGATAAATTCACAAAAAAGGAAACTTAAGTAAACTGGTGGACTTAGCCCAATACAAGTTTGATAATTTACAAAAAAAGCCAATATATGTTACTATGTTTTTTTTCTAGATGGAAGTTGTCGGGCTGTTGGCTTTCAAGAGCGAATAGAAAACAAGGTTTTAACCAATTACGTCTTCAAAAGCTACCGGGGAATTAACGAGGAGATGTGCGAGGTAAATTGCTTTTTAGAACTGGGGTGCGTGTCCTATAATCACGGTACAATGGACGATGGACTGTTTCTGTGTGAGCTGAATGACAGAGAGCACATGGAAGTGCCTCCGAGTGAACTGGTGACAAAAGACAGGTTTATATATCGTGCAATATCAATAGTAAGTGGCAAATTAAGCTTGTGTTATTCATTAATGAGGAACCTGCTTCCTTGAAATTAACTTAGTCTCTTTTTGCTTTGAATCATAAACTCAAAAGCGTTGATGACACTGATACCGCTTGCAAATTATTATTATTTTTTATCTTATCTTATCTTTTTCTTTTTTTTTTTTCTTTTTCAGAATTTTTGTGCCAGTAATCCTTGCTCAAGCAACTCAACTTGTCAAACAGGATTTGGCAAGCAAGGGTTTCGCTGTTTGTGTCCACGCGGTTATCTTGGCGACAATTGTGAATTGGGTAAATGAATATAAAATAAATAAATTGATGAATAGAGGATTAGAGGAATAGTTTAATAAATGAATGAATGAACGAATTGAAGAACAAAGAGATATCCAGACAGAACGATTTATTCTGCGCATGTCTACTGATAAACTGAAAATACTGACCTTTTCGAACGCAACTGTAGAAGTAATATATATTTTTTTCCTTTGTTTAAAGATGTTGATGAATGCAGCTCGTCTAAACATAATAACTGTTCATCTAATGCTGACTGTTCTAATTTACCTGGCTCTTTTAAATGCGATTGCAAATCTGGATACACAGGAGATGGCGTGGATTGTGCTGGTAGGATTCTTGAATCTTAGTTAAGAGTTCCCCTTGAGTCATTTCATATAATCACCTTCTTACATTTAACTCTGATACCATTTCACAGAATTAGCTGACTGCAAGGATGTTTTAAAAGTGACTGGGATATACCACATTACGAATCACGGACTGGAGTCATTTCCAGTTTACTGCGATCAGTCTGATGATGGAGGAGGTAATAGACTGTAGCTTAATTGTTCAGTGTATAATTGCAAAAGAACATAATACGGAGGGCCCAAACCACCCAACAGAGGGTTCTTCAAAGAGTGGAAAGTTTGGTTAATTTGCAATAACATTTTGCCTCAAACAAAAACTTAAAATTACGTGGTCAACATCCGAGATCTATCGGGTTAGTTTG